CTTGCTCATAGAATCATAGAATCATAGAATCACTTTGGTTGGAAAAGACCTTTGAGATCATCGAGTCCAACCTTTAACCTAACTCTGCCATCCCAAGTGCTTAAATCATCCAGTGCTTAAATAAGACTCAGGGGAGAGCAGACTGCATCTGCAACTACCTGACTGGAGGATACAGAGGAGATGGAGGCAGACTCTTCTCAGAGTTGGACAGCAGTGGACACAAGCTGGAATATGGGATATTTCAATTAGGCATAAGCATTTGGGTTTTTACAAGGGTAGTCAAATATTGCAACAGGGACTCAAGAGGTGGTTCAAGAGTTGACTGAACCTTAAGCAACCTCATCTGATTAGACCTGCTTTGAGGTAGGTTTGGAGTAGAGACCTTCACAGATCCCTTCAAATCTAAGCTACTCTATGATTTTTATGATTTGTTGCCAGAGCAACATTAAACCAAGTAAATGTTGCCAGAAGATTGTTTTAGTGCAGAATTCAGCCTGAAGAACACAGTCCTGTAAGAGAACTGAACACAAAATTCAAAACTGAAAAGTTAAGTTTTGATGTTCAAAGCCTTCACTGACCTATGCAATGAACATGTCATGGAAGCGATTCCTTGTTGAGATTATGCGTATTAAAAAAATGGCGTTACTTAAAAGGGTCTCATTTTGCTTTTGGATGTAGGTATAGAAATGGCAAGAAATACAGTTCCTGGAAAGATTCATTCATGGAAACGTAAATCAGAAATTTCTGCTGCATAGGGACCCAGCATGTTTTATTGCAAAGGTTCAATAGGTACCATATGCAAAGTAGAGGTTTGAAAGGAAGCCAGCCCCTTCTGACATATCGTGGGCATTCTCAGATAGAAGTTTTAGGCTCTGTAAATGTTCATTATATACATAACTTCAGTTTTAAATCAAAAGAGCAGTGTAAGACAGAAGATCCTGGCTGAAGTGAAGCAAAGAACTGAGAATGAGAAAGAAAAGTAGAGGGAGTGGAATATTCTCTCCATATTCGGGAACTGCTGAGACAGCAAATCCAAAATATTTTTGAGTTTGTTTCATTCCTCCCACCAATGCTACTTTCTGAGGTCAAGTTCTGCTTCTTGATGGGGATATCCTTCCAGCCATCTTAACCAGCTCTTAATCTCCCAAAGCCTTAGTACACTCTTTATCCATGTGCCACGCACCCTTATGTATACAAAAGACTCAGGTTCCTTTAAAGAGTTGTACAGTCCTAACCCTGATGTGCTCAGGTGGAAGTCAGTCTCAGAAGCTGACCTGGTATTAGCAGAATATTCATCCAAGCCCCTCAGCCACCTTGACCAAAATGCCAAATTTGCTTCTAGAGGTTTTCCAGAGCTTTGCTGGTTCTTTTTATTTTGCCTGCCTCCAGCTTTATACCTACTGACAATTATTTGTCCACCTATTCAAAACAGAATGCAAACAAATGCAAAAAAGTGCTTCCAAAGCTTTCTCCCCGCAGCCACAGAAAGTCTCTGATGATGAACAGCAGCCTGTTGTTCAGTCTAGCTACAATGGTATGTTAATCCACCGAGGCTGACCGGGGAAACCGGGAGCTTGCTACTCTCGTAAAATACCTCAAGTGCCTCCTGGAAGCAAAACCCTCCCCGGTTATTATATAACATCAATTTACTCTTTAAAAAAATTAAAAGAAAATATGTAGCAGATGTGACGATAACGTCAGATGGGTGGGAAGAACACCTCCCATGGACACATATCCAGAGACCACTATGAAATATTTGCAGAATCCAATAGCCACAGAAGACATTTTTTCTGTCCTTTGATAGAGCCCGGTTAGTTAAGAGGGTTTAGTAAAGACCTGCCCTAGCCAGTGAGGCAGCAAATTGTTGTCAGCATGACATGATTGATGACAGTGTACTATTTTACTTTATGATGAGCTAGACAGTGTGAATGTAAATTGACTTGCCTGAATGGAGGAAACTCTTCCCACACAAAAATAGAGCACCTTTATACATCACAATTAAAACTAAAGGATTCTATATTTATTTGAAAGCTGTGTACAGAAATGGCTTCTAGTGCCACCAAAATGCAAAAAAAAACCCCAACCCCAAACCACACCACATTAGAACTGTATTTTCAGGATCACTCTAAAAGAACTGCAGCTAGCACTAAATTTAACTTCTGATGTCAGAAGTTGACTTCAGCCCTTAAATATTTATCTTGGCCTACATCTTAGCCATATGGAGCAGAACCAAAAGAATACAGCATGATCCTTTAATAATTCTTAATACATGTTAAGTAGCAACTTAGTAGTTTTAGTTGATTGAGTTGGGCACCTCTATGCAATATATTTACGATCGTGAGGGTAACATTTCAAGGCTTTCCTTTTGCTGGGATGGCTGACATTGTCTTTCCTGGGCTAGTAAAATTGACGATAATTCCTATCCAGTTTATAGTTTATGAAGAAGTTAATCAATAAATGTTATTAGACTAAAAATAAAGCAACAGAAATGGAACATGTAACGCATTATTTTTTTCTAGTGCAGCTTCCAGAAAGCAAAAATCTTGAACCTCTTTTGTTACTAAGGAAGGAAAAATATAGAGAATTCTAAGGAAGTGTTGGTCATCAACAGACCTAGTTGGAAACAACAGGTTTTTCTCTGAATAAATTGATGTCTGTATAAACAGGCAATAATTCACTACTTAATGTCAATAATTAAATACTTCTGAAAGCAGCTTGTCACTACATAATTAAAAGGAGGAACAATCCATTCTACTGGATTATTTTTGAGTGAGAAGTAAAACTGCACAAAGACTTTTTGAAAAATATAAAACCCCTCCATTGCAGTGAAATTATCTGGGATTTCATTCGTCTTTATTTGCAACTGATGACTTTGAGGCTACTTTTGGAAGACATGCAGTTGTCTACAGATCAATGGAAAACAAACATTTGTTTGAGCAGATGCTCCTGGCCCTGTACTGCATGATGCAGCCAAAGAGTGCCAAGAGAAGTCAGCCTGAAGGCTGCTTCCAAACTCTGTGAGACATCCCATCGTGTTTCACGAGTCAAGTGCCCACAACGTGCTTAGCCCTATAACCTGCACTTCTGAGGACATTAAAATGCTTTTGGGTTATTGAAAACCATATATTAGATGAAGATTATTCACCAAAACTTAAGGTCACTTAGTCATCCTTAAGTTGAGGATGAAAAAAATGAGGATGATGGAGACATGTCAGTGACTACATACTAGATGTATTTCCTTGGAGTCTTGAAAATACGATGCTTTGATCTTATGGCTGCCTAAACTGAAGTTTATGACGCTAATATAGAATCATATAATCATAGAATATTTTGGGTCGGAAGGGAACCCCAGTCCAACTAGTCATCTAGTCCAACCCCCCTGCAGTGAGCAGGGACACTGCTAACTAGATCAGGTTGCTCAGAGCCCCATCCAACCTGCCCTTGAGTGTTTCCAGGGATGGGGCCTCTACTACCTCTCTGGGAACCTGTTCCAGTGTTTTACCACCCTCATTGTAAAGAATTTCTTCCTTATATCCAGTCTAAATTATATAGTTATATAGTTAGAAGCATTGTGGCAAGAATGGACAACAAACCATTTGATCACAGGTTTTGTTTAAAATAATTTATTTACCAAGGCAATGTGGAAAAAAGTGAGGGAACTTAGTTTTCAAATACACTTCAAATACAAAACCAGTGTCGCCTATTTCAGATGCTGTGAAATGTACTTTCAGGGTAACATATGCCTGATGGAAGGGTTAAAATTTGAAGCGTGGGAACAGCTTGCTTGTAGCAGGAGCCTGGTTCCAGCTGGTAGGTGTTGTGGGAGTACTGGGAACCCAGTGCCCTGCATAACCCCCGGCACCCCACCTTAGGAAGCGACCTTTTGTGCCAGTTTCACACCCGCTTTCTCCCAGCCTCTTACCGCACGTGGCCTTTATTAATCCCTACCTACGCCTTTTGGCCGTGGGAAGAGGATTTTCCTTTCGACAACTGACACGGACAGAAAGGGGAAATCTGCTGTGTACCGGATTTGTCCAGCCTGACTTTCACATTCACTTCAGCTCTCCGTGCAAAGGGCTTGATGACCTGACGCACAAAACCAAAACCAAACAAAACAACCCCCATACTGAGCGGCCCTAAAAGCGACAGGCAGTACTCTGTGAGAAAGTTACCCTTTTTGACAGGCAACCTTGCTTAATGGTCCCAGAAACACACATCCCTGAGATGAAACTGCCCCAACCCTGCAGCTGTAGGAGACTGCTGCGATTTTTCCCGCCAATCCATTTTTAAACTCTCTGTTTTCACCACGGTGCTGGTTTTCCCCCAGTCTCA